ATTATAGACTGAAACCTCCACAAACTGTGAGCTAAATAAACCTTTCCTCCTTTAACCTTAGGTGTCAGGTATTTTATCTCAGCAATGAGAGAAAAGTAACTAAGACACTATGCTTCCCAGCCACTGGGAAAGTTTAAATATTGAAGTGTGTGTGTGTGTGTGTGTGTGTGTGCGCGCGCGCGCGCGCGGACAGAAGACTGAATCCAGAGTCTTCACATTGACCTACATCCCAAGCATTGTTTTAAAAAACAATTTTTTTGAGACAGGGTCTTGTTAAATTGCTAAGTTTCCCAGCCTGGATTTAAACTTGCTATCCTCCTGCCTTAGCCTCCCAAAAGGTTGGGATTATAGGCATATGCCACCATGCCTAGTTATAAACTTTTTTTCAAAGGCAGTTATCTCTAGGTCTGTCATCTTAGCATACTTGATTAAAACAAATCCTAGATTTGCATTACAATAGTCTAAGTGGTTTTTTTGTTTGTTTGTTTTTTTGGTTTTTCTCCAGTACCAGGAACCGAACTCACGACCTTGCGCTTGCCAGGCAGGCGCTTTGCCACTGAGCTAAATCCCCAGCCCCCTAAGTATATTATTTAAAAATTATTTACCTGTATACTTAAATCCTTCAAATACTTGCAATCACTAGTTTTAGCACAAAACACTATCTTCTAGCATGTATCAATCAATTCACTCATCCAAAGATCTATACAATGGCAGGCAACACTAAAGAGATAACAATGGAAAATTAAACCCCTGTTGTTATGGAGGTTATAGTGTAGGAATTATACTGATAATTGACATAAAGGAGTATAACTTTTATTTCATTTGAATCCGTACTTTTCTTCCCAATGGTTCATATACACTAATATTTGGTGAATGGGGGGATGATCCACTTCCCTTGTACATCAGAAGTCATTTTTCCTGTCCTTTATTACTGAATAGTGCTTTATAGGTAACATTTTTAATGGACTTATCTCACCTGGAGATAAGAGCACTACTGAACAATACAGTAATTCAAGCAGACAGACTTGACTCAGTGAAGAGGTTTATTCACCAATCACCAATAATAGCTGGGGAGACATCATCTAACAATTATCAAACCTATCATAAAAAAAGGGAAGCAAGAATTAAGTGTACTTAAAGGGAGACAAACAAAAACTTTCCTACCCTGATTCAGTGATTTGTGAGACAAATATTTTCACACTAAAGTAGGCCCCATGTTTGTAAGACGGGGGTGCGGGGAGGGCCAGGTGAGGAATGATCTTTGAGAGTGCTGATACAATTCAGAATCTCAAAGTCATACAAGCTTTAAGTGGTAATAAGTTGCTATCCCAAATCCTAGAAGTTAGTGCTGAACTTTAGTTTATATTTCTTGCAACTAATAAATTGATTTATATTTTAAATGTATGCACTGTCTAATAAGGAATGATGAGAATCTGAGACAAATGTGGTGCATGCCTGTAATCCCAGCACTTGGGAGGCAGAGGCAGGAAGATGGCTGCTAGTTTGAGGCCAGCCTGGGCTACATAGTGAGTTCGAGGCCAGGCTAAACTACACAGCAAAACCCTGTCTTAAACAAACAAACAAAAATCTGAATTTTTTCCTACTGTCTCATTTTATTACCTATACAGAGAAATCAGATTACCTACTGAAGTACAGACATTCCTTGTCTAACAATGGAGTTCTATTCCTGCAACTCGATCCCCAACTGAATTGCTTGCTAAGTGACAAACTGTAGACAGCATGTACATTACAATACTCAGAACAAAGAAATGGTGAAAGGAAACTAACTTGATGACTTTGCTTTCATTTGCATAACTCTTACATGCAGTACTGTAATACATAACAGAATATAAAACTACAGTACTATACAGTACAATCAGCAAAAATTACAGTACTATATAAACAAGGTGACTGTACAAAAAACAAGACACTCAGGCTCTATAAACAAGATGTACAGAACTGTCCAAAAATGGGTCATAACTCTGAGCATTGGGTCTTCAGTCTGAACAGTCATTCAACAGGCAGGTCATTATATGAGGAATACTGTAGATGCCGCTGTTGCATACTCAACATTCATCTACTTATCCCCCTCTTCTGCTTTTAGACATTATGTGAGACTAGGCCAGCAGCACGCTGGGAGGCTGAAGCAGGTTGACAAGCGGGTGCATGCACTGTAGGTTTCTGCGAGGCCCAAAATCACCTCTCTAGAAATCACAAACCTTGCCCACTTCTAACCACTAAGCCATGCTCACAGACACATGAACTATAGAACATCTTCACCAAAAGTGACCCCAACTCAATTATAAAGAATTATAATCTCATTTACATTGTGGTTTTTGACACTCCCCTGTGGGCTTTGAGTGCCATGGCAATTCCTCAGAGATCCATATAGGGACTAAAACTCCCCAGTCCAGCAGAAAAGAGGAGACTTGCCCCTGATTGGCACAAATTGGGTCTCAGTTCAAAGAGACACTCCCTTCCTGTCAAAACCACGCAGACTGACACCTGGCTTCCTTGGGCCGTGAGCTCTTTCCACTGGCCCATTCCCACTCTGAGGAGCGCACTGTTGCCAGTAAATCTATACTTCCACTTCTGCTTCTGTGCGTCCTGCTCAATTCTTTATTTAAGATACCAAGAAACTAGGACAGTCACCACCCCTAAAAACAGGGGGTTACAAGTTCCAGCCCAGCATGAGAAACTTAGAGACCATCTCAAAATAAAAAATGGGCCAGGGGTGGAGCTCAGAGCAAAAACCCTGGATTCAATACCCAGTACAGAAAAAAAAAAAAAAAAAAAATTATAGTATTTCACACACATTTCCCCAGAGGATCTGCATCTTCAGGAGAGGCTGGCTCCCTCTTCAGCCCTAGGATAGCGTTCTGAATTTCCTAAACCCATGATGGAGGCCTCAGCCCCTTGGCCTAAATATAAGTACTTGAAGCAATTTTAGCTAATGAGACATGGGGTGAAAATCTGATGTGGGAAGAGGGTTTCCCTAGTCTTCAAAAGGGGGCAGGGAGATAAAACGGGGTGAGGTACCTTCTTTTTTGCTTCTGACATCTAGAACTTGGAACTGAAAGAGCTACTTTAGGTGCATAAGGGAATTAGACTGGAGAACAAACCAGTACAGTGAAAGATGGCGGAAAAGGGAGACAGAACCTGGGTCTTTGACAGTAATGCTAAGACACTGAATTAGCCAACCAGGGAGTGGCCTCTCCTCCATGAATATAGTTATGTAAGATGTTTTTAAAAGGTTTAACAATAAAGACATTTAAAAGTTCCCATCAATGCAGTGGAAAGTATTTTTAACTGCTATGTCTTCTTTCTTTTAACAGCTATATTCCTAAAAAGTGGGCTTCTTAAATATCTCAGTATAATAAGGTGTGGTTGAATGCAAGAATAATTGAAAATTTCTTCTTATGCTCAAGCTGCTCCTCTGGGTACAAGGTAAAATCAATTTCCTCTTTCCATGAACCTACTAGTCTTTCTACCAATGAAATAGAGCACAAGTGACGCAATGCCAGATCCACATCTAGGTTCTAAAAGAACTAGGATCCTCCTTTCCTTCTTCATTCCCTTGAAAGACATCCACCACGTAAGAAAACTTAGTCTGCAGTCCTGAATGATGGATGAGAGACTAGCTACAAGAAGAGAGGCCTTAAGAGGAGAATCAAGTAGCTCCAGGCAAAAGGCAGCACCAAGACCCTAGCAATGTAAGTGAAGCTATCCAACCCTAGTTAATCCACTAAAACTGACATTTTAAAAAGCATAGACTAGCAATATCTGCTCAACCCTGCCTGAATTCCTGGGCACGTAACTGAACAACAAAACACCTATTATTTGTAGTCAGTGAGTCTTGGAGTGGTATATTATACAATAGATAACTGAAAAACAAAGTGATAGTATTTGTTTTCTTTTTTTAAAATTGCTGTTATCATTTCAGTGATTAAGAAGTATTGTTATTAAAAGCACTGGATGCTAATGAGCATTTGTTTCCAAATATCTGTTGTTTCAGTGTCTTAATAAAGGAAAACTTGCTTCAATATATCACCTTTTATCATTTTAACTAACATTATTAAAATAATTCAATACAACTAAGTAAAAAATATTTATAGCAACTGAGTTGATATCCTTAACAAGTAAAAAACTAAACCTACGCACAAATAAGAAAAGAAAATGCCAACACCTTAATTTTTTTTTTTTTTTTTTTTTTGGTTTTTCTCCGGTACCGGGAACCGAACTCACGACCTTGCGCTTGCCAGGCAGGCGCTTTTGCCGCTGAGCTAAATCCCCAGCCCCTTACACCTTAATTTTTAAAAATGGGCAAAGCCATTTGTCTGAAGAACCATAAATGGTCAATTAACATGAAGTATCTTCACCTCTCAAGTTCAAGTAACTTAAAATGAGATTTATCGTATACAAAACTGCAAAGAAGAAATAAATAGCAAGACTTAATGCCATCCAGGTTCCAGTGAAAAGTGGGGAAACCATTTAGAGGCAGGAGTCGGGACCTGGAGACTGAACTAGGGGGACGTGCACACACCCGCTCACAATCTGCGCGCCTCTGGGTCTTGCCTACGGCTGTAAAGTGAAGACAGGGCAGCTACCGCCTAGAGCTGTCGTAACGCTCAAATGATATGCACGAAGGGCGATGTAAGGGACCTTTACTTTTTGTTCAGCCCATTCGTCCGCGGGGGTACTTTGCCAGAGATCATGAAAAAGAACTGAACAGTTTCCTGGAAAACTGGGAGTGGATGAGTCGGGAGTGATCTGACTCAGAGATAGGAGATGGGGGAAGGCCAGGGTGGGACGTGGCACGGGAGGGTAGGGGTGACCACCAAGGAGCGGCCACTGTCCGCTGCGACACAGTTCAACCTCGCCAGGCCTTCCAGACTCCACCAGCCAACAGCTCGGGAGCGAAGGCGATAGGGAGAGTAAAACCCACGGCGCTGATTGGCTGCCTGCTAGAAAGGGGCGGGGCGGACGGAGGCTCCAGGGTTCGTGAGCGGAAGGCCGAGGGTGCGCACTTCCGGTCTTTGTGGCTGGCCCCTCGGGTCTGCGGCTTGGGCCTCGGCTGCTTCTAGGCTTCGCGGTGAGGGACGCGGGCCCCGTGGCGGAGGGAGGGCAGGGCGGACGCGCGACGCCGGCGCGGGCTGGCGGGGGAGGAACCCCGCTCCTCAGCCTGGCCGCCCCAGGTCGCGGCTCCTTGGTCTGCGGTGAGAGCGCCGCCGTTTCCCTACTCCCGTGACTCCGCAAATGCTGTGGTTTAACCAGAGGCACAAAAAAATAGGGCCGAGTGCAGCGGGTTCCTTGTAAACCAGAGAAGCGTGGCCTAAATACTCTAGCCGATCTCTGGGGTTTAGTACATAAATGTTGTCATATATAGTTTAAACCTTTTTTTTTTTTTTAAACTCCAAGAGTACCGCTTTGAGCTTAGGTTGACTTTTTCGTGCCTAGGATACCTAACATGTTTTTGAACACATGAGAAACGTTTTACAATTACTTCGTGATTAATTCTTCCGTAGACTCATTTATGAGCAAAAACCTTTTCAGAGCCATAGTATGTGCTCCAGTGTTTGTTGAAGAAATTTAGTAAATAACAATTGGTACCAAATGGTGAATAGCCCATAATATTTAAGTCACTCGTGTTTGACATGAGTTTTTAAAAATGTTTCAGTACTTTAAATAAAAATTAACCCTGTTATAGGTAAAGGCAACTACAAGTAAATTTTAAAAATCAGTATTATTAAATTCTACCTAGATACTATTTATTACTCTTGGGAGTCTGAATTGTAAATTTTATTTAAAAATTTAATGCAAGTTAAACATTCGTGTTGAAGACTTTTTTCTTCTTGATTCAATCAATGTTGAAAGGATTTAAAAGAAAATTATTTTCTCGTTATATGGTTCATGTTAATACTATATTCTTTTGCTTTTAAAATAATTTCCTGTAATAATAAGGTGGATCATTTTAGTCATTTGATTATTGTTTATTTAATTATAGTCTTACACCTGCTCCTTTTCAGCATTACCAGAGTAACATTATTAAAACTTCTTAGAGAGTTATTTTTCCTTGCTCTAAGTTAACTGTCGTTTTATATCCTTTAGGAAAGAAGAGATTACTCAAAGAAACTCTAAAGCACAGAACCCAGTTGTACTGAGTTTTTGCTAAGCTGTTTCAGTCCAGAATGGCTAAGAATTCCAGTGTAATTTCAACTCTGATACCTCAGGATCATCAGGAAGAAGGATTAATACTAGTGAAAATAGAAGATAACTTTTCCTGGGGTCCAAAATTTAAACAGAATGGGGATACCCAATCCTGCCAAGAACTGTTTAGACAGCAGTTCAGAAAGTTTTGCTATCACGAGACACCTGGGCCCCGGGAGGCGCTGTGCCGACTCCAGGAGCTGTGCTATCAGTGGTTAATGCCAGAGTTGCACACAAAGGAGCAGATCCTAGAACTGCTGGTGCTGGAACAGTTCCTGAGCATCCTGCCTGAAGAGCTGCAGATCTGGGTTCAGCAGCAGAGTCCAAGAAGTGGTGAGGAAGCTGTGACCCTGTTGGAGGATTTGGAGAGAGAGTTTGATGATCCAGGGCAGCAGGTGGGAACAGAGAAAAGGATGTGCTATGGGAAAAGGACTTTACAGCCTGGAGCATGTAGTATCCTAACAGCAGGATGAAAAGTCATTTGTTTCTACATGACCCTGAAGTAACTGACAGGGCAGTACCTGTCTCTGTCCTTAAATAATTTTTCCCCTTATCCTTCATCTAGTGGTGACTTGTTGGTTTTTACTAAGCAGTGTCTAGAGATTTTCTCACAAAGCTAACGCTGTTTTACTGATTTCAGGTCGCAGCTAATCCACAGGGACCAGCAGTGCCGTGGAAGGAGTTGACATTTCTTGGAAGCTCCCATGAGTCAACAAACATCCACCTCCAGCCTTTAGAGACACAGCTGAAATCCTGGAAACCTTGCCTTTCCCCTAGAAGTGGTGAGGAATGGGAACTTGTCTGGGACTCATATCAGTTAGGCCTCTGGTTTTGAAGATGCAGAATGAATTGTATCTACAACTTGCCACATGTGAGCACCATGTTTATATTTCTAAACCAGAAGTGTTCAGGTCAGCAGCTTTGTATTAGTCAACTCTCATGAATTGTAGTCAGCCCTCCTTGTGTCAGTTTCTGGAGTGCTGACACATGTTTGATACTGTTGTGGGCATCTACACCTATGTGATGGTAAGTTTCTTCAAGGAGCTGTCAGCTCTAAGTGAGTGGTGAACAAGCTAAAAGACTACTGCAATCTGGTATAGTAAATTATGGAATAACAGTAGGAACTGAGTTCTGTGGGACCACAGATGTCAGCACCTAACCCAGTATTACAGGTTCAAGGAATATTCCCTGCAGGAAGACTCTCCTAAGCTAAGATTTGAACTGTATGAGTAGAAGGAAGCCAAGTAAAGAGGTGGAGGGATGAGTGGCCTAAGCAAAGGCTACAAAGTACTAAATTATAGGTAGTTCAGTTTAACTTGAGTAGAGAATTGATAGGGAAGGACTGGGGAGAGGCTAGAGAAGAAAATGGGTCTTCTGAGAAGTTGTATGTCATATTAATTCATTTGAACAGTTTCTTAAATCCAGAAGGATTTAGTTAAAGGGCATGGCACAAAGGAGTAACCTGGCTGGAAAGACTAGAGGCTTGTTAGAGATTTCTAACTAAGTGCCCACAATGAGTAAATCAGTGTACTATGGTAGAGGGGTGGGGAACATCACAGCTGAATGCTTTTCATCTTCATTAAAATTGTACTGTACTCTGTGGTCATTGTTAAAAAGCAAAGCATTAGGAACAGGCATTGAAGATGATTCTAAAGTTTTAGTATTGCACAACCTGGTTAATAGTGGTGCCCTTTAAATATTCATCTAAATGGGAAAGTTAAGGAAAAACAAATATATCTGATGATGTGTTTTAGATGTTTTGGTGCTTGTGAAATATTCACAAGGAAAATACCCAATTGATGAGACGGGGACTGAGAGGGTAGGGGAAGGGGAAATAAAAAGAATTAAGATTTGTTATGTACATGAGCTAATTCCCCACAATGAATATAATCAGAATAGAATAGAATAGAATAGAGCTTAATAGAATTGGGATAGGCCTGGGGATATGGGGAAGTATTACCTTACAATGTAAAGGAAAATTGAAGCCTAGAAGCTAGAGAGTTTGCACAGTGAAGATACATGACAGCCCAGAACAGAATCTGGAAGAACACTAGTATGTGTTACCAGCCCAGACATCTAAGAAGGACCAGCCACAAAAAATCAAGTCCGTATGTCTGAAAGAGAATATCTGTAGAAAGCTACTCTGGTCCCCAATGTCAGTGCTATAGAGGCCAACTAAGAAAGATCCAAAAAGTCTGAAGTGGATTCTACAGTTAAGTTGGTGACCTTAATAAGAGTAGTAATGGTGGAAGTGGTGGGGAAGGAGGAGGGTAAGGCAGAAACCAGATGCAGAATGAAGATGAGTACAGATAGCCCTTTCAAGAAATTTTACTGTGAATGCAATAAGTGAGGCTGCTTGGCAGAGGTGTGTAGGCAAGGACCTTGGTTTTAAAAAAGTGAGAGTCAGCACTTGGGAGGCTTAGGCAGGAGGATCACTGAGTTTGAGGCCAGCCTGAACTACATCGTGAAACCCTGTCTCAAAAACACAAAACAGAAAAAATAATAAAATCAATTAAAAGGTAAGAAGGACATGAGCTTATTTAAATGCTGATGAACAGGAGTCAGCTAAGAAAGAGGTTGAAACCCAGTATAAGAAATACTGGGTAACTGATCAAGGCTCAGAGAAGGCAGAAAAAGATAAAATCCACAGTGTAGGTAGAGGCATTAACATTAAAAAAGATGAAAGACCCTATGGACCAGTTGAAGAAAAATATAGACAGTGACATCACTATAGGTAGACTTCTATTTTCTCTCATGTAGAAAGTGAATATTTAGAGTGACTAAAGAAATATAAAATCTGGTGTTTTTGCTATTTAATGTTTCAGATTATGAGAACAGTGAGACAGCAGCACAGGAGAACATTTCAGGAGAAAAGCCAGAGGACCTCTCTCAGGAATCTTCATTTGGAGGAATTGCTGAGTGTGAAAGCAACTCAGAGTGGCGGCAAAGAAGTGCTACAGGGGAGAAATTAAGACGATCCCCACCCCACGGAAGCAGTTTTAGGCAAGTGATTGTCACACACAAATCTTTAGGAAAGAGAAACCATCTTGATGACCCTCAAAGATACTTGATTTTAAGTACAAACTCTGTACCAAGTCAGAAAGTTGCTACAGAAGAGAGACCTTATAGATGTGATACATGCGGCCACAGCTTCAAGCAGCATTCTTCCCTAACACAACATCAGAGGATCCACACCGGAGAAAAACCCTATACATGTAGTCAGTGTGGGAAGGCCTTTAGCTTAAGGTCATACCTTATTATTCATCAAAGAATCCACAGTGGTGAGAAAGCATATGAATGTAGTGAATGTGGAAAAGCATTCAATCAGAGCTCAGCCCTCATTAGACATCGGAAAATTCACACGGGTGAAAAATCTTGCAAATGTAATGAGTGTGGCAAAGCATTCAGTCAAAGTTCATATCTCATTATACATCAAAGAATTCACACTGGTGAGAAACCCTATGAATGTAATGAGTGTGGAAAAACCTTTAGCCAGAGCTCAAAGCTTATTAGACATCAGCGAATTCATACAGGAGAGCGACCCTATGAATGTAATGAATGTGGGAAAGCTTTCAGGCAGAGCTCAGAGCTGATTACCCATCAGAGGATACATAGTGGAGAGAAGCCCTATGAATGTAATGAATGTGGAAAGGCCTTCAGTCTAAGCTCAAACCTCATCAGACATCAAAGAATTCACAGTGGAGAAGAACCTTATCAGTGTAATGAATGTGGTAAAACCTTCAAAAGGAGGTCAGCCCTTGTTCAGCACCAGAGAATCCACTCTGGGGATGAAGCTTATATATGTAGTGAGTGTGGGAAGGCTTTCAGGCACAAATCAGTTCTTGTTCGCCATCAGAGGGTCCACACTGCAAAGTAAATTGTAAATACAGTGACTATTATAAATATTTCAGTCAGATTTCTATTTTTGTTAGCCAGACAGTTTTCTTGGGAGCACGATTCCATCAGAGTTGTAACTACTAGGTCTTGAGTCATTCTGGCTTTGTGCAGCATTTCCCAATGCTGGTGTGACTTGTCCTATGAAAGCTTTTCCTGTGATTAATCAGAACAGATAATGGAAGAATTGTTACTTTCAGCTTTTCTTTACTGTTGGAAATACTCAGGAAAGAGGAAAAATGGAAATACAATGTTGACATCTCATTTTCTCAAAATGTCGTAAAAAGGGTGTAGGGATCTAGGCCTTGTTACTACAGCTGATTGTGAGTGTGCCAGGCTTGGGCCATAGTGTAGACATAGTGTAGTATGAAGGACTTTGTCTCAGGAACTCAGAAAGTTTTACTAGACCAATTCAGAATAGAGACAGGGCAACAAAAAAGGTAGAGAAACAGTTTGTTGGTGTTTTCTTGAGCCCGAAGCAGGCCAGAAATTAGGCATGAGAAGAATACAAATTAATTTATCCAACAGTTACTTTTTTAGTACTTGCTTTGTATCAGAGACTAGACATATAGTGGAAAGTAAGGTCTAATCCCTATGATCTAATGGGCAAGGCAGCCATTAGGCAGTGATACAATGGTGTGATCACTGCTTTGTGATTTTAAGGAGCTTCTGACTCAGCCTTAAATGAAGAAGTGGCAAAAATGACATGAAGGATGAGTAGGGATTAGTGAGGGAGAAGGTAGTCCAGGGGAAAACGTTCCCATTAGAGGGAGCAACAGATAAAGACCACAGAGGAAGTGTGAAATATTCCCTGCTAAGTTCCTTTTGAATTAAGAGTCACACCTGTAAGAAATATGGGTGTAGCCAAATTCTGAAGTAGTGCCTATAGCAAAATATAAACCAATTGAAAAGTTTCTGTTAATGGACAAAACCTGGAGCCCTTGGACCAGAGCACTGTAAGGAGTTTTAGTCTTGCTCAGTATGATCCAAGAAGAAGAACTAATAGGTGGTTTGCTTTCTTTCCCAACCTCTAGGATAGGCTAGAATTTCCTTGGGGAGGTAGTGGGTATAGATGTATGAAAGAGCCTAACCTAGATGTTACGAGTCTCTAGAAGTTTAAATCTCCCTCTCCTAAAAGTAAGTCTCCTTTGTTGCTTAAGACAGTAGTGGACCTGCTATCAGGTTAATCCCCAAGGCTCTTGAGTTGGGAGCTGCCATATCATTTATTTCTGAAGGGACAGCCCCACAATTCCTAGTATATTCCCTTGGGCTCAGGTGCTCAAAAAATATTTGTTAGTGGCTGGGCCTGTGAGTTATTCTCCAAGCACCTCACACATTGTTTTGTCTTAATGTGTACTGTATTCCACAGTATCTTCAAATTTTGTTAAAAGACGGTGCTAAAGGGAAATAAAAAGAAGTAACAATCATGTTCCATCAAGATTTCCCCTCCTCTGAGGAGCCTAATGCTGGTGCCTGATGTGATAATGAGATAGAAAATTGTACGCATTAACCAGGCACCTATTCTCTTGCTTACTGTGAGGTGGGAGGTTGTGCACATTAGTCAACAGCAAAAAGACATCATTCAATAGGCCTACTATGTTGGAGGAATAACACCAAAAATCTGTGTAGAAATCTAGAATCTTGTGCATAGAAAAATAATTTTCATAAAGATAAAAATAATTAACACTCCTCTTGAATATATATATATATGAGTATGTGCTAGCCAGTAAGAATTGCAATAGAGCTAAATCTCCATATTTAAAGAGAAATGAAAAAAGAATGGTATCATTTGGAAATATGGTAAAATGTAATAAAATACGTAAGAGCTATACAACTCTTGTTTTCCTCCAGAAAATACCCCAACTGAAAAAGGATATTAAATAGGAATTAATATACTACAAAAGGAAAACACTATAGAGAGCTCTTACCTATGTCAGTAAAAAATGTAAGAGGTACTTCCTAAGGGCTTTGTGTATATGTATTAGTTATTTCTTATGGCAGCCCATATTTTGTAGATCAGGAAATGAAGGCTAAAGGTTATGGCCAAAAAGTGGTAGGGTCAGGCTTTGAATTCAACTCTTTTATACAACCACTTTATACTGCCTGCATGCAGTCCCAATAGAAAAACGTCAAGTAAACAAATCACAAAAGAAGCAGTGCCAATGGACAATGGATGTTCAATCTTGATAAATTAAAAAGTGTATTGAATCAAGAGTCGGGATAGCACATACTATAAAATTCACAGACAGCCAGGAAAATTGGGACTGGCATGTTGCTGGTGGGATGTGAAGAGACAGTATCTTTGGCAATCAGTACCAGAAGCCTTAAGCATTGCCTTTGACTTAAAATTCTACCTGGAAATATATTTCAGAACTCATCATGAATGTGCACTCTTAAAAACTCTTAAAACTGGTGTTGATTAATGTTAAAAGACATGAAGCATTCATGATACATTATTAAATAAAATAGTACAAGATAATATGATCCATGTAAAATACATATTTATGCATTAAAATACAAAAAATACACAATCTCAAGGTGTTATACTAGTTATCTCTCAGAGGTATAGCTAACTTAATTTCTGTTGGGCTTTTATGTATTCTAAATTTTTCGGCAGTACTTAATACTCAGTATAACAGAGTGGCTGAAGGTATACGTCAGTGGTAAAAGTGCATACTTAATGTGTTCAGTCCCCAGCACCAAAAAAGTAGGGTTTTTTTGGGTCAGGGGAAGGGGTTGAGAAAAAAGTGAATGGAAGCCTAGGATAGTTGGAAAAGTATTTAAAACAAAAACTTGCTTTCTGTACCATCTCTGTTCCTTCTAAGTCTCAGTTAGCACTTAACTCTAATCTTGGATTGCATTATCATTTCCCTTTCCTTCCACTAGTGATTGAACTCATAACTTCATGTATGCTAGGTAGGCAAGCACTTTACCACTGAGCTACATCCCTAGCCTCAGTTTCATCATTGATAAAACAATGGTAGACTTGCCCACCTCAAACATAGTATTTAAAAAGACCTCTATAGGTTATAAATTCCGGTGTAAATACAATATGAGTCCCTGAGGATTTTTGATTGGGAAAAGAAATACCCCTTGAAGTGTTCAAGACCTTTGGTCATTAGTTTTCACATGAATTCTGCAGCTGTAAGCAAGTCATCTTGCAAGTCTGGAACCTTATGTGAAAGGAGCCGGAGAAGATGGGCTTTTATGGTCAAAAGTTCAACACTGTGTGTTTGTGAAATGGATTTGTTTTCTTCCACCAAACTTTTGTAGAAGACAAGCAGTCCACGTCTTTCTGCTCAGTCAGGGCTGTCTTGTTTCTCTTCGTATAAAAGCATTCTAGTGGGTAAGTGTCTGCTTTAAATGGATCTTACAGGAATTTTTAATAAAAAGCAACTTAGGCACAATGCTTAAATACCACTTTTCCTACCTGCCCCCTTCTTCATTTCCGTAGCCCACTAACACTGTCTGAGAGGACTGGAAATTTAAAGCAAATGTGACCATGGTCTCTAAGCTTCCATTTCTATTGAGGACTTGCTGATGGAGAAGGGGATGGTCATAGCACTGTCCCAGGCCATTCATTCTACTCAGCAGTTAGTGCCAAGGGTTCCAGTCTGGCACGTACGATCTTTGCATCAAAGGAAAGGGAAAATCCTAATTCTGGTGGACATAGTGTTTATATGTTTGAAGAAACTTACTGTGATGGTCCCTCCGAAACTGAAACTCAAATGTCCATTACATAAGGCTGGTCAGTTGCATTCCTGAAGATGGGCTGTCATGGTTTTCTGATGCTTTTTGGCCCAGGGAATAAAAAATGGGGAAAAAAAACAAAACAGCTTTCCTCACTTCCCACATTCATTTCTTGATCCCCTATACTCTGCCCAAACTCTTGTTTTTGTGTTGAATGAATAATAATTTTTAAAAAATATTTAAAACTCATTTTATTATATCTTACTTTACATTCTGATTTTGATCAGTTAAAGTGTGTATGCAACATGAATATTAAAATTAGTTACCAAAATTTATTCACTAGACAAAATTTTTACCAAAAATATTAGGAATAAGGGAGAAAAATACTAACAGGAATTACTGCAAAATAGTAACCTGTTCCTATTGATAGTGGGATTCTGGATGTTTATACTTTATTATCAGCATTCACAATTAATTCACAATTAGGCAATAAAAACATTAAGTCATTTAGTAGGAAAGGCAACTCACTATACACTTAAAGAATTCCTTTAGGGGCTGGGGATTTAGCTCAGCGGCAAAAGCGCCTGCCTGGCAAGCGCAAGGTCGTGAGTTCGGTTCCCGGTACCGGAGAAAAACCAAAAAAAAAAAAAAAAAAAAAGAATTCCTTTAAATAAATTTAGGATTGATTTTGCTCAGTGGTAATTTGCACAACTTTTGAACAAACACTTCTCAACTGCATTTCTCGTACTACATACAATAGCTATGATTACCAAATTTTCCAATGTGATTCACACAGGAATTGTCTTCAGGAATGTGTGAGTTACTTAAAATTGCCAAAATAAAAGCTAGCACAGATGTATAATTTTTGAGGACTCTGACAGATTAATCCCAAGAAATACTTACTCCCCTCAGGTGGCTTAAGATCACCTGGTGCTGTGAGAAAGGCAGGGAATGAGGAATTGGGGGGCCTGGGAAGGCAGATTTCCCATTACTGTGTTCCTGCAATCTTCCATTTCCTAGGCCCAAGGTAGTGGGACACAAATGCTCCATCACCCAGTCTCCTTCCAGACTCCAACATATATTTTTTCCTTGATGCATGTATGCTGTTTCCATAAAATGCACTAGAGTCTTCTACCACATTAATTCTGACCATGTGACAGCCTCACTTGATCTGTGATAGTGATTATAAGTAGGAAGAAAAAACCAACACATGTCCTGGCTTCTGAGCCAGAGTATGAAAATTAATTTCTGCTGGAGTAGAATCCTGAGGACAGGATGCGTCCTCATCTCCCTTATCTTTATACCAGGTATGTTCTATAACCTCTGCCTCTTTCCCTGTGCCCTTCACCTGGCTAACTTCCTACCATTGAGGTTTTTTTTTAACTCTGATGTCGTCATATCCAGGAAATCTTAAAAGTGGCTCATAGACCAAGTAAGCTATCCCTGCCATGTACTTCAACAAAAGCCTGGCTTTATCTTAGCAAAACACTTACCATACTTTATTGTACCACTCATTTAATAAATAGGTATATCCCTTAAGCATTGAACTAAAAGTGGAAGGGAAGGCAGAGGCCATGTCTCCCCCAGTGGCCAAACATAGCAGGTACTCAACAAATAAGGTCAGAATTACCTTCAGCAGGAGGCTCAAGGCAGCAGAAAGAATTAGCAAGAGGAACAACAAGCCACTATTCCTTCCAGAATGCTAACCAGCCTGAGATAGCATTAAACTGATGGAGAACATATTTCAGCATTTCACATGCTACATAATTCAAATGAGCACATGCCTCCACCGGCAAAATGCACAAATACTGTTACTGGGCAAAGATTCTTGTCATATTATAAGGAGTGCTTTCCATGTCTGTCCTGATCTTGGACTTCCTGGAAGGTGCTAATGGCAGTTATATCTGTGCTGGTTAAAAGGTAAGGAAGAGGTATTTCGGGTGAGAGTCCCCATCCTAAAATCAATTCTAGGAAATACCTACCATTCTTCCATTCAACACTTCAACAATCCCAACATTGTGTGGATCTCCTCTTATGGTAGTGAACTACGCTAGGTTCTCTGGAAAATTTAAAGTTAAGACTATGTCACAATTGCACAACTTTTACCCACATTGTTAGACTCTGGTGTGTGTTCTCTGATGCTGCATGAGGCCGGATCTGTGCCTAAATGTTTTTCTACATTCACTGCATTCATAAGGCTTCTCCCCAGTGTGTATTCTCTGGTGTTGGGTCAGGGCTGAGCTCTGATTAAATGATTTTCCACATTCGTTACATTCATAAGGCTTCTCTCCAGTGTGAATTCTTCGATGTTCAATAAGAATAGAGCTTCTCCCAAAAGCCTTACCACATTCAATACACTCATATGCTTTATCTCCAGTGTGAATTTTCTTATGTTGAATAAGTGCTGAACTCCGGCTGAAGGCTTTCCCACATTCACCACACTCATAGGGTTTTTCTCCAGTGTGAATTCTCCGATGCCTAATAAGCTCTGAGCTGCCTCTGAAAGCTTTTCCACATTCACGACATTCATAGGGTTTCTCACCACTGTGAATTCTCAGATGTCTCACAAGATCTGAGCTCAAGCTGAATGCTTTGCCACATTCTGTACATGCATAAGGTCTCTCTCCAGTATGAATTCTCTGATGTCGAATCAACTTTGAGCTCTGGCAAAAGGCTTTCCCACAGTCAGAGCATTCATAGAGCTTCCCTGTGTGAATTTTCTGTCTTGTAATTTCATTGGAGTTCACACTGAGATGTCCTTCACTTCCATTACATTCAAAGATTCTTTGTTCTGTTGGGATTTTTCTGCTGAAGGTTGCCACACTAACATGGGTTTCCTGGGAAGAGAGCTGACTCACTGTGTTCCATGCAACACTTCCCCTCTGCTTCTCAGCATTGTCCACATCTCCCAAAGCTTCAACTATCTGTCCTGAAGCAGTTTCACCACAGAGCCTTGCTGAGGATATCAGAGCTGCTGATGTTACACATTCAATAATTTCTTGTTTTACTGTCAACATTTTGTCACTCACCATCTTGCCATCTAAAAATGTGAACAAAAAATGCAAGTGTCATTTACCCCCTATGTTAGGAGAAAGGAAAGGATTGTAGTAGATAGAACAAAGTCAACCAAATGGAATAGGCATTTATCCATTAGGAGGAAAATTTGTAGAACTAGTTTCTCAATATAGAAGAGAGAATAGCCTGGTTTAGACAGAGGTGGCTCCCTCAGAGAATAGAAAATAAATGATAGCCAGTATTGGGGAGTACGGTGAATGAAAAAAGATGCCTAGGGTGACAGAAAGGAGCATCAGTGAGAAACCAGGAAGCTAAGAAATAATAATTATAGGAGAAGATACTTCAGTTAACTCAAGAAAGCAACAGGTTATACAAAATATGCAGGGTAAAAATACCCAGTCTTGCATCTGTGGCATTTCAAGCAAAGAAGTAGAGTAGAAGATACACTTTGTGGGTTATTACTGGACAGGTGTAGGTGGACAGGAACTAAAAAAGCACGAAACAATTACATTTTGGGAACGTTCCAAGGGGATGAAGTAAATATAAGCAATAGAATTTGACACAAAGAACAATATAACTTATACCATTTAAAATACTTTTTCACCCATGTGTGGTGGTTCAGGCCTATAATCCTAGCACTTGAAAGGCTGAGGAAAGAGGGTCACCGTGACTGCACAGCCAGCGTGGGCTACATAAGTGAGTTCAAAGCCATCTTGTACTACACAGTGAAGGCCTATCTCAAAAAAAAGGAAATAAAATAATATAAAATAAAATACTTCTTCAAACTCGATAACTACATGAAATAAAATTATGACACTGAGCTAGATGTGGTACCACAAGCTTGAATCCCAGCTTCTCAGGGTCCTGAGGCAGGATGTCTCACAAGTTTGAATTTAATAAGGTTACATAACTTAGTGAGATTCTACCTCAAAGTAAAAAATAACAAAAAGACATGAGTGTAACTCCATGGTAGGACACCTTCTTAGAATGTGTAGGCCATGGGTTCAATAGCCAGTAACCCCATATACGCCCACAAATGTATAAAACTAGAATAAAACTTTGACCTTAGATGTATAAATCAGAAAAGCTTAAAGATTTTTACTTTTCAACAATACATTTATGATTATACAAAAATTAGATAAACAGTTAAAGTAATTCCTAGAAAGGACAGGAATTAAAAGTAAACTAAGTAACTGTCACTTGAGTACTTAGAAATAGTAGTATAGAAATAATGATTTCAAGCCCAAAGCCCAGGAACTCAGTGATGGGGTACACATTATAGGAGGCTCTTGTAGAAGAAAAAATTAACAAGTTTCTTCATTAGAACTCTTTATGGGAGCCCCTGTTATTCTTGTTTGGTCTAAAATCCTTTTAAACGAAGGATATATGGGGTCTCTTCCTCATCTGACAGATACTTTTAATGCTATTAGATGATGCTCCACCCAGATCTCATTACAACTATAGTGCCTCTTTCCCTCATCTGCTTTGAGAGTTGGCTCCTTCTATGATCAGAATGTGTGCAGCTCCCCCAAATCCACTTGTTGAAATTCTAACCCCTGAGGTGACGGTATGGGAGGTGAAGAGTTTTAGGAAATAGATCATGAAGGCAGAGTCAGCTTTGGCTACATAGCAAGACCATGTCTAAATACCCACTCTCTGGAAAAGGAAAGCCCTGAAAGAATTCAAATTACATCAGATTTCATTCTTCCAGACCTTGAAAAAGAAATTAGAAATAAAATCCCCTTAGTGATTCAGACATTGCTACACCTTGAGCTTTACTTGTGCTCAGGGTCCACATATTGGCAAGGGGGGCCCACTGTGGCAATGTGGGAACTGATGGAACCATTAAGAGGTGACAGTGGGAGATCCTTAGGTCCACTGAAGTTCTGTTCTTGAAAAGGATTAAGGTATTTCTCAAGAAACCCTAGTTCGTTTTTCTGAGAAGACTGTTATAAAAGCCTGAGACTGACCCCCAACTCACTTTCTGCTTTCTGCTTCAAAATGTGATCACTCGTCCTGCATATACTCTTTTCTTTCCATCACTGTGATATGACACAGCAGAGGGCCTTCCCCAAAAATGAACCTAGAAAAACTATGACCTAAAAATATTCTTTATACAAGTAGCCACCTCAGGTATTTCATTATAGTGATGAAAAACTGATTAATATTGTCATTTAGCTGCTTTAAAACAAGGGAGTAGCTGGGTGTGGTGGCAGATGCCAGTAATCCCAATACTTCGGAGGCTGAGACAACAGGATCACAGTGAGTTTGAGGCCAGCCTAGACTACATAAACAAGTTAAAGGCCAGCCTGTACTACACAGTGAGACTCTGTCTCAAAAAAACAGACAGGGGACTAGATGACTTTTCCAAATGCATTTTAATGTAGCTCCCACTTGGTGCAGAGGATATCTGAGAAGACAGAATCAGGGTATGACATATGGGGAAAAGAGGGAGGGAGTTCCTAAGTAGACCTCAGAAAATGGTTACATGGATATCTTTGGAAAATCGTCAAGGAGAGTGATGGTGAACCTTTTAGAGCTTTCGATGATAACAAACAGGCACCAGTGGAACATGTGCCATACATCTGCCACCAGTGCTCTAGGATCTGACCCTCAGCCTTGGTCCTTTCAAACCTATCATCCCATAATAAATACCTTCATTTCTTGGGACAGACTCTTATTAACCAAGATCATACCTTTAAACAATAAAACCATACAAATTTAATGAACATTATAGCTTTTATCTAGATCTCCCCCAAAAATTTCATGGGCTCATACATGGAGCTTTTCGGGGGGACTGGATCATTGGTATGTCACACCGCAATAGATTAGCATGGATTAGATGATTGGATTAGCATGGCTGTGGGTGTAACTGGTGAATTTATGAAAGAGGGAAGACCCACAGAGGGTGTCCATGCAACCAACCAATAGGCTTGTAACCTGGATTGAAGAAAAAGGGAATAAAGAAGGAAGTCTTGCTGTTCTCTGCATGCCATGCCATGAACTGTTTCTCATCTGCCAAAACACCTTCCTTAGGAGCCAGCTGCCTGTGGACTGAAACCTCTACTAACTGTGAGCTATAATAAACATTTCCTCATTTAACTTATGGATGTCAGGTATTTTGTCTCGGCAACAACGAATTAAGGAAGACAGTGAATAATGTAATGGACCAAACTGAACTAATGCCTTTGCTTATTGTAGCTGAGTGTCACAGGAGGTTAATAAGATTGTGTGATGAAGATGAAATCAGAAGAGTAGTTAGATGTGACTAAAGTTTAAAGATAACAAGCTAATAAGCCTAATGTAGCTGCTGCACATAGGGATGATGTTGCCAGTAACATAAGCAAAGTCAATTTGGTTCTAACCCTTGGCATCCAGACAGCTATCAATTTACTGCCTCCGCATTTCAAATCTACCCTTCACTGCCCTACCTGTAATACCAGCATTATCAGATGACCTCAAATGATGACGTCTACCATCAGAGGGGGCCAGAGAGACAATGGAGGAGAAATGGGATTTTCTGGCTAGACCTGGTATGCTGTGTTGCTGCAGCATGTGGAACAATCCCAGGCATCATCCCCCTCAGTAGCTTCCCAGCAAACTGTGTAGCATGTCACCTCCATCTGGAGGCTTTCTGGCACCAGAGGGTTGTTCCTCAGGGAAAAACAGCTGGACATTTCAGGGAACATCTCCCACCACGCCATGCTTGGTCTCTGGAACACAAGGTAGACCTCATTCCTGACAGGAGGGCAAGACATGGTACCCTCTTACAGATGTGTTCCTCCCGTGAGTCTCGGTGGCACAGACTCCCGCATTCTTATTGCTGTACACTTTAGACTTTTCTTTTTAGGCACACCATTTAGTGCTCAATGAGCCATGGCAAATTTGATAGCCCTCCCCTCTATCCTCAGCCCTAAATGGATTGGGGTCCTTACCTTTCTCATAGAAAGTTTCAGTCTCCTGAGTCTCACTCTTGCACTGGTTCTCCAAGGACTGTGGTAAGCTGTACACAGATGTTAGTGCTCCCTTGGTTGTCATTTCCTTCCAGATCATTTCTTGGCGATCAGTGGTGTCCTAGGAGTAATCAAGTACCAGCACTGTGATTCTGAGCCTACACAAGATGGAAGTGCCTAGAGCAACAGGGTAGGACAGGAAGAATCAGACACTTGTTTAGGCGATTAGAGAGAAAACAGCAGCACCAAAACCCCTTGTAACTTGATCGAACAGGTGAATAATTAATACACCAAAGACAAAAGTTGAGTAATCCCCTGAGAGCCTAGTTCATGCCACTCACAATGGCATGAACTTACAGCAGGTCAAAGGAACAAACACAAAGGCCTGCTTCTTACCTGTTGGCTTGCTTCACCAACTTCTCTCTCCAACTCCTCCAGCAGAGTCACAGCTTCCTCTCCATTCTCTGGCCGGTGCCTCTGCACGCAGGCCTGCAGCTTCTCGGGCAGGATGGCCAGGAACTGCTCCAACACCAGCAGCTCCAGGATCTGCTCCTTGGTGTGTGCCTCTGGCCTCAGCCACTGACAGCAGAGCTCCTGGAGTTGTCTCAGAGCCTCCCGGGGCCCGGCAGAGTCAGAGTAACCAAACTGCCTGAACCGCTGACGGAAGATCTCCTGGCTCTGAGAGGCTCCCTCAAGGACAGAGTCCTTCCCCGCAACATAATTTTCTTCTTCAACCTTCACAACTGTAAGTCCTTCTTGTTCTCTTACAGCAGAGCAGATCAAGGCTGTGGCCTCTCCTGACATTCTGGGCAGAGAGAGTTGAAAAGCCTGCCCAGCTGAGGCAGGGAGTTGGTAGAGGCTTGTGTCTGAGGGATTCCTTCTGAATTCCACCTCTTCAGGATGTCCCTGAGGCCGACAGTGCTCATGTTACACAGCTGCTTGGAAGGTAAATACAGGTTTTTGAATGCCACTTACCAAGGAACATAGCAGTGTAAAGAAAACTGACTAAAAGACAGCTTCCACATAAATGATTTACTTAGATGATTCAAGATTTTTTCAGGATGTAACACAAAATTTGGTAATGTTGAAATCTATTCAGGACCAACGTTAGGGACATTAGGGATAATAAACAGTGCTCTATGAGGACTTTCAAAATTATGTTCTTTCACCAAATGAGGCTACTGAGAGTCATAAGCTAATCAAAGCCACACAGGTAGCGAGCAGCACAACTGGGTTCTGCAGGTGAAATAGGTAGCTCTTGCCAGTATGGAATGGGTTCTTTCCCAAACAGGGAGGAAAGTTCACTTAATAAACATTTACCCTAAGGCAGGCGGCTTACAAATACTATGTTATTGGGGTTTGACTACAACAGTGCAGTATTATCATCCCCATGTGTAACATATAAAGAAACAGCTTCTTGAATGTTTATGGATCTCTCCAAGGCCCCAAACTGGTCAAACATATGAACCCAGGGTTCCCACCTCTTAAGTAATCCCTCCTCCTTTTATTTCAGAATTATGCTCAGGATAATCTTGCTTGTTACTGCAAATTTCGCATGCTGGTGAAATGTTAGGCAGGGACCATGGAGAACATCCACAAATGTACAAATAAGGAAAATTTATTTTGGACTTTAAGTCACACAGTTCTGACAAAATACAAAGAAAAAGGAAGGAGTCTTTCATCTATTATTTCAACAAATACGTGCACATTTGCTAGGTTCTGGCAAGTGTACTAAACACATGTCTCAGGATACATGTCCTGACTGCAAGTTCCAAGCACTCTTTAGTTTAACTGGGGAAAATGACAGATGAACACACAGAGTGATAAATCCAAGCATAAGCACCAGGAAAAGAGCACTGACCAAGAGAAAAAAGAAGGGCTGGAAGAAGCAGACAGAGCTACTTGGAGGAGACATCTCAGTAGAAGCTGATCTGAGTGTGCCAGGCGAAGATGCAGAGGAAGGTCATTCAGGCAAAACAGAGAACGTGTGACAGCATGTGGCCCACTGAAGAAAGCCTATGTGGTTTGGAGAGGTCTGGCTAATGGTGGTTGCCTGTGGCTATGGCTCAGAGGCAGCCACGGAGCATCAGCCCATGACAGAATCACGGAGTCAGAATCTCCAGGTGGGGCCGCAATAAGTGTCCCAAGTGCTTCTGACATGTACCCAGGTTAAGAACCCTGCTCTGGAGCCTAGGAAGTACTTAAGGAATAGTGCAAGAAGGGCACATGTGCAGGAACAGCCAGCCTATCAAGGCTCTGGGATGGGTGGGGATTCCTATGGCCCCAGGAATGTCTGGGAAGGTGATGTGGCAAAGAGACAGAAAGTGTGTTGCAACCATTTGGTCAGGAGACAATGAGGGCCTGAGCTATAGAGGTCAAAATATATAAACAGAGCAGACTGGACAGGACATCAGGGCACACTGGAAAGGTTCAGAAGAGAGAAGAGTGAAGGACTCAAGTTTCGGGCCGTACCTGATTACTGGAGGACGCTGGTGTCCTTTGCTCAGCTATTCATTAAGGAAGTTAAATCTGCAATGCCTACAAAGCAGCATTTCCTAAACTACACTTTGCTACATATTAAAAGATGCTTTGTGCACTCCATAAAGAAACTGGATGATCAGTGTCTTCTTAATATTTAGTATATCACAAATAGTATAGACATTCCTTTAGTTTTTGTTCAGTATTAGAGACTAAACCCAGGAGGCACTGAACTACATGCCCTGCCCTTTTTATTTTGAAACAGGGTCTCTAAGGCTGGTCTCAGACTTGCACTGCCCCTGGCCTAGCCTCTCAAGGAGCTCTTTAGGTCTCTCTGTGTAACCACTGGCATTAAGAAATCAAGAGATGATGAAGTATCACATCTGTGCATGGACATGTGAATAGCACTGCCAGGGCTGCATCACACTGATTGTGTCCTTCCCTGAATGACAAATAATCTATACTATATCACCTCTTGCCTTTTAATTCCGGTATTTGTGATATTACTCAATTGGTATTACAGACACTAGTCCTCACTGACTTGTCCTCCATGGTTGTGAGGCCAAAGGAAGTTCATAATCGTAAAAGAATCATCTTTGCTTCTTCTCCCCCTCCTTCACAGGTCCATTCCCCTGTATATCAGAGTTCCCTAAGTGTAGTCCTAAGTGCTCCACATTTTCACTCTCTTACTTGCCTCCTGACCTACTTTACCTCACCTTCTTACCATCCATCTGGTTTAGACCTCTATGTGCTCCAGATCTGTTTACACCAAGCTGGTCAAGCTCACCACAACTCCTCTTGAAATTTCTCAAACTCACCGCATTCAAAACTGATTCGTGATTCCTCCCACCTAAGATCTGCTTTCTCCTAGTTGTTCTCTCAGACAGTAGGAATACTCATCTGGGTGTATGGCCAGAATCCTGAAGGAAGCCCTAACAAAGTCCTGTCCTCTACCTCCTTCCTTTACTTCATGCAAATTAAGTTCTACTGATTTTATTTCCTCTCTCTCAATTCTGCCCTTCCTTGTCTCTGTCATCACCATCTTTATCCCTACAGCCATCCAATGTGTCACACTGCACAAAAAGTCCCCAACTGCCTTCCCCACACGTACTCTGTCCCGATCAGTCCATTATCTAGATTGTAGTCAGTGATATTTTCCAAGTTGTAAATCTGATCATTTCCCTCTGATTAGTTCTTTTGTTTTATTTTTAGTGACTTAAAAATAATATTCTTCCTCACTATCATGTTTCTTGTCAGCATTAGCTGTTGCTTTCAAATTTTAATCCCTCGTGCTTGTAGTCTGTCATCAGCCAGGCTGGAGACGCCTCATGGTTCCACTGCCATGAGTGATCCAGACCTCATCATCTACTGGTTAGGAACTGATTCCAGTTGATGGTGGGAAACTCAGCTGGAGCTTCATAGGAATGCCCATGCCCGATCTCTCCACGAGCCTCAGACCAGTTTTGTAAAAGCAAAACAAAAATATTTTAGCCAAGGTGATGCTCTCTCTGCCTGGACTCATTGCATTCACCTGGGACACACTCCAGCCTATAACCATCTCCTAGATGTGGTCCCAACACCTATATTTTTAATACATTCTGCCTATTATTCTGACGTCCAGTAAGGGTTGAGATCACTGGATCAGTCAAGGCGTCATCAGAAACAAGACTGAAAGAATTGCATTTCTTTCCCTCAAAAGTGTTTCTCTCACTTTGTTAGTAAGCATATTTGGGACTCTGGGGCTAATAATGGTTTTAACCATGAAAACAATGTTTTGAGCTACAGTATAGCAGTGATTTTGCTGTTACATTACTGTCACTCAATCTAACACATGAATCATAGTATACCCTATACATAAGAATGAATGGAATTATAGTCAAAAAAGAATTTCAAAGAAGCAATGGTCAATACAGTATTGTCAAATTCCTAATGTGGACTAAAAATATCCCCACAGCATCTTACCCTACAGGGAAGTGATCCAGCTCACAGAAAGAGCACCACCTTTGGACTCAAGTGACCCAGGTTAGAATCACAGTGCAATCTCTCACTAGGTATGTGGCATTAGTCACCAACCAAACCTTTCGGAGGTCCCATTTCCTCTCCTAAACATGGAGCTAAGAATCTAACATTATAGGAGTTGGGAATAACAGAAAACATCTGAATAGTGCTGTTTGGTGTATTAAACATGTCTTGTTCACTTCGAGGCTCTGACATCTGGGGCTCTTTAATGACATGGATGTCACTCCCAGAGACAGTAAACAACTCACCTGTGAGCATGCCTTTCAAATGGAAACCAACACACCCAGAGCCCACACCACTACTACCTTCCCTATCAGGCTCTCCCACACAGCACACCCCTGCCCTCATCACTTCAGGGCTGGGAACCAAACAACTAGGGACAACTCAGTGCCCCAGAGTCCACTCAAAGCATGATACAGGTGAAACAAGGTAAGGGCAAATTCCACACACAAGGTACACCTTACAGAAAAGGCTTTCCTGGGGAAGCACACAAACCAATGAAGGGAAGCACGGGTGCCCTGAAGTCCATCACCCCCTAAAAGAGAAATCTGGAGAGAAGTGCTTCCATGTTTAAGGTGAGAGCTCCCACAACCTTCTTGTGTGCAAATTTGAGAAAGTATCCCTGCCAGTGGGAGTGTAAACCCACCGCGCTGGGTCAGATGCCTAGACTTAGTTGTCATTTGCTTATGAAGGAGTCCAGGAAACCAGCTACCCAGCCCTGTGCGGTGTGCGGTTTGGAAGGCAGGAAGCCTTGAGCATGGGTACAACTCCCTCCCTCTGGGAGAAGGCAGATCCCTGGTCCTAACTGTTCCTCCCAGTAGCTCAGAGGAAACCGCTGGGGCACTTCTGGACAACCTGGCTTGGACAGGCACTAAGGTCTCTTCTGAAATCAAATGGTCTGGCGCCTAGGTCCGTGCTCTTAGATGCCTACCCTGCTGTAATGCCATTTCACACCTGCTTTCCCAACCAAATCAAAGCGTCTTTTACAAGAAGAAATGCGTTTTTTTCACGCATTTCTTTACTATTTACTGACGGCCACCCTGTGCAGACGTTGTGCACGGTGTTAAACAAGGAGTTGTGAAGAGCGTCCCTGCCACTGCAGAACTTAAAAGTACCGAGAGGGCCGCACTAAGTAGAAGGCACACATCATTTCCTAGCTCAGTCGTGTTGTTAAAACTACAAAGAGACCGTGCTCTCAGCGTCTCCTGAAGGATCTCGCCCAAACTGGGGAAGCCAAGACGGATGGCTGAGCCCTGACCCAAGAGGGAGCTCTGACCTGCACAGGGCCGGTGGCCGGGCACATGCGGCGCCGGGCACTGCTGCGGGAGTCCGTGGAGCGAAGGGCGGCGACGCAGCGCTGAAAGGATGGGAGGATCGTCCGCCGGCTGACAGGTAGAGGCTGACAGCCACAGGCTCCACCCGTGACAGAAGCAGGCCGACCGTGTCCGAGACGGAAGATTTAGGAAAGACGCGGGGACGCGCCGCGCGAACTCCCTGCTCAGACTTCCCCTCGCCGCCCCCGCACAGGACCCCACAGAGCCAGCAGGGTGGCCTCCCTCCCGCGCACCGGAAGTGGGGCAGACGCGCCCCTCTAGGAATCCTGGAGGACTGTAGCTCTGTGGCCCGCACGCAGTGTCCTGGAAGCAGGAGGTGGCTCTGAACACAGAATGGGATGTTACATTTGAATCGGTCCTTGATGGTAGTTGCAAGTCAGTGACCAGAAGAGAATACCGTACTAGTGTTCAATGTATGTTCTTAATCCGCGTATGCAAGATAGAAGCCATTAGTCTCGTGAAGCTATTAATCACGTGAACTAAGGCTGGAGGAACTGAGGAGCTGAGTTTTTCATTTTATTGAACTTGAATTAAATTACACTTAAAGTGCTGCATGTGAGTAGTAGCTACCGTACTGGAGAGTAAGTAATGACCCACTGAGTGAAACAGATAAACATAGATTTTTAATCAAGCCGATCGAATGTAAAAATGTCCAAATACAGACTAAAATGACCTTCCACTTTAATGAAATGTTGACCAAATAAGAAATGTCAAAAAAGAATTCCATTTTTAAAAGTCATAAGGTTTATACACAGAACAGTCTCAATTTGTTCATTCCTTTGAAAGAGCCACAACACTTTTTTTGTTTCTTTTCAGGCAGGTCCTCACTATGTAGTTCAGGCTGGCTTTGAACTCACTGTGTAGCTTAGGCTGGCCTTGAACTCGCAGTGATCCTCCCTAGCCTCCTGAGTGCTGCAACACACTTCTTATTCTATAGCTATCCAATTCTACCACTGTTTAGTGAACAGATGAATACAAATATCTGTCCAGAGAAGGAAAGGGTGCTATATCCCTAGGAGAACTGTCTTTAACTTTGATCTTTAGTGTTGTGATTATGATTTCTATAGGGCCTATAGTATGCTAGTTACAAGCTAGCAATTTAAGAATCACAAAAAGTGAAGATTACAGGCACCAGTCACACCACTCTCTAGCTACCTCAAACTTTCCACAAATACTATTTAAAAGCATTTTCATTCTCTTCACATTCAATTCCTCTCTCCACTGGGCCTTCTTAAATGAGGGTATAACATCCTTTTCCCTAGTGAATGTAAACTTTTGGTCTTTAATAGCCTCAGACTGCCACTAAACTACCTGAGCTTGCATCCAATGTCCTTTACCACTCTGAGAGAATGGAAGAAGGGTTCCTCCTATCTCAAAGGCCTATTCCTCCACCTGGGTCTTGGGCCCCATTCCCTTCACCACCTATTCTAGCAATCACACACCATCAATTGTTCATTCTTTTGCTGTGTTGTCTACTCTTGCTCCTTGATTCTTCCTACAATTTTTCACATAGTACATATTTTTTGTCTTAAAAATTACCAAGCACCAGCCAACCAAAACTTCATCTCTAAACTCTAATTTTTTTGTCTTCTTCAGCTGAAGAAGCATCTATGATTAATTCTCCACTCCCAAATACCCCATTTTATTTTATTCTCATACTACTTCCTGTTGCAGAAAAAGCAATATCAAACCAAATGGAAGACTCCTTGCACTGAGGAGTTACAAGGAAACTTTTATTATGCTAGCAGGCTGAGGAACCCAGAGGTTCAAATCACCAGCCCAGAGTCAAGTCTGAGTTCAGTTTAAATATGGTTTGCAGTGTGAAGTACAAAGCTTATAGGAGTTTATTACATGATTGGTTACACGGAATGCAAGAATTATGTCATATATTGTCAGGCAGAATTCTGGGAGAGAGGGAGTCTGAGAAGAATAGTTAGAGTCTTGAAAGTGTCCTTGACTGGGCCAGTCTTCCCCAAACAGGATGTCCTTGAAGTCCTTGAAGCAAGTTGGAATCACTGCATATTTTAAAACGCAAGCCGGACACAGTCAGTTTGACCTCACACATCGTTAAGGGAGAACATCCGGGCCTACACAGTCAAGGCTAAATCTATGCAGCTAGCTACATGACAGGCAGCACGAGCATGGTCACAGGCTATGAATTCATTTCTAACTTTTGCTATTATGTATCTACAAGTCTGCCCTTCTATAAGTATGCCCTTACAGTCTCACACTCTACTTCTTAAACTTTTCCCCCTTATATTACTGACTTCCCTTTTGATAAATCCAGTCTTTTAATAGCCCTGAATCTGTGATATCAACCTTATATTCTTCTGGGTAGCTTCTAATCTCTTTGGTTACTATTCCCTTTGTGCAGCCCTTTTTTCTCTACCATTCTGATCGGCATGTGGAGAAGGGTTTTGTTCTTAAATCCCATAATTTGCCTTTGATATGGGAAAGGGAACCAAATCTATGTCATTTTGTACTCTAGTGCCATTTTAAAGCTTCAGTTTCTGTTTCCTTAAATTTGTTTCTTGTAAATGTTGTCATAGTTACCTAACCCAATACCACCCCATGCTTTGTGATAAGACTGCTTGTTCCCTACATAAAATGTCAAACACCTTTGTTCCTTTGTCACAAGCTAAGTTCATGCTTTCTAAGAGTATTTCTGTAGCAGCACTAAATCTTATCAGGAAAAAACAAATCACTTCCCTAGACCTGAAACTAGAGATGTATAGTGATTCTCCCCTCTTACCCTTCAGGGTTGGTGCTCAGTCATGTACTGGGAGCCCAACACCGGCTAATAAACCTGCTTGTCTCTGCATCCTGCCCCCGTGGGTGAGTCAAGTAAATAAGCATATTTGCCACAACACCCTCACTCAACTGTATGGATACAGCAAGTGCTCACTGGAAAGGAAAGTGCCTGGGCAAAAAAACATACATGCCAGAAGCAAGCTCTAGTGGTTGGAATAGAGAACTCAGTTTAGGTTCTCTATTCCAGTATCATCCTTAAAGTCTAGATTTCTTCTAAATGACCAAGCTGGTTTAGGCTTTCTCTATTGGATTCAATGTTTTTCTAGTCTTTCTCTAATGCCTTGCTCTAAGAACACATTTTTAAGGTATTTAACACAATGGCACTCTATGGATGGCACTAAAAATCTGTATTTTCCTTTTTTTTTGGTATAGTTTTCTGTGCTGCATTACCACAAATTTAATTGCTTAGTACAATATGCAACTCCTTTGCCATATGAGGAAACCTAATCAAGGGAGGGATAGCCCATTACCTTGGCCATATTCCATTGGTCAGAAGTCAGGCATAGGTTCTGCTCACATTCAAGGGGAAGAGATTACACAAAAGTGTGACTAACTAGAGGTGACTATAAGGTAGCTCTCAAACGCACTGCTTGCATATCCCCATTGATTTCCATCTTCACTGTTACCATTCCAACCCAAGCCACCACTACCACATGATCAGACAAAGGTCAAAGGTGTTACTTCCCTGCTACAAACTTTTTTATGGCCCGTCATTGCTCTTACAATCTAATCCAACATGCTCAGACAACTGCCTATTTCTAATCACATTTCTAGCCACAAATGTTCATTTATAATGTTCTGACCTTCTTATGCCTTGTCTTTCTCAACTCGTTTTCTCTTTTGGAACTTACCGCAAGATGATCTCTCTATCAGAACTATGTCTTTTCTGACTAATTCTTTACCTTTCAAGACCAGGCTGAAAAACCACTGTCTTCTGGAGTCTTTACCCCCCACCACACTAATGCAGGCACCTTGATATATCTTTTATGACTCTCTGTATTCATCTTCCATAGAATGTGTCATTGTTGAAATTCATTAATTATATGTTTAATTTACTGTTGAATGTCTGACATCTCAATATACTGTAAGTCTCATGAGGGCACTTCTGTATCTGTCCCATCCAGTAGAGTTCCTGCTGTTAAGAGGACATCTGATGAATGTTTCAGTGCCATGTGGGATTCATACCTCTGGGATCCATGATGATTTTCCAAGGGAAACCCATTAATGGATTATTTAGATCTTTTTTTTTGTACCGGGGATTGAACTCACAACCTCATGCTTGCCAGGCAGGCGCTATGCCACTGAGCTATATCCCCAGCTCCATTCATGGAAAAATCAATTACCAGATTTGTCAACTTTCATCCTAAAATTGATCATACTATGGTCCATTGTCTTGGAATATACCAATTTCTTTTTCTTTAAAAATTTTATTTACATTTATTTATTTATTTTTGCAGTGCCGGAGTTGAACCAAGGTCTTGTGTGTGCTACGCAAGTGTTTAACCTGTGTGCTATGTCCTCAGCTGTACAGATTTCTTGTGTGTCAAACAAAGGGTTAAATCAAAATACTGATTTTAGAGGATGTCTCCTTTATGAAAACCCAAGGCTTTCTAGTTTTACTGCCTTATTCATATTTCTTTTTCATATTTCTGTTAAAGATGAAGTGTTCTAGTAACAATAGGGGCATCTTGGTCTGTGTTGTGATAGTCTGAAGAAAGGACAGATGAACAGCATGGGTTAGTAAGTGCTTTTACAAGTAAGCAATGCACATATGTTTTGCTTAATTGTGACAGATTGAACATATTGTTATGAACATGTAGATGAAGAAATAGAACATTATCACACCTCAGAAGTTCCCCTTGAGCCAGCTTCAAATCTTTACCCTACACTAGCCACTAAAGGTAGTCATTTTACAGAAACTTGGATTACTAGGTATATTGGTTTAGTGTGGTTTTTTGTACTTTATATAAGTGGAATTCAACAGGTACTTGTTGAGGCTGACATTATTAGTGAAACTAAGTTATATTATTATATATAGATATACAATTCCAACATAGGAATTTTCAGGATTCCAACATAAGAATTTTCAGGAGGGATACATTTTACAGCAGTGAAAGTGAACCTTTTATTTGTTTGGTTTTTTTTTGTTTTTGTTTTTTTTGTTTTTCTTCTTGTACCAGGGATCGAACTCTCGACCTTGCGCTTGCCAGGCAGGGGCTTTGCCGCTGAGCTAAATCCTCAGCCCCAGTGAACCTTTTAGAGCTTTCAATGATATGGACGTGGCACATGCACCATAGGTTTGCAACAATTGCTCTACAGCAAATATGTTACTCATTTATGTCTGGGACCTAATAGAAAGTATCTTTTTTCTTCTTTTTTTTGTGAAAAAAAGAAGGGGATTGAACTCAGGGCCTTGTGCATGCTAAATAAGCACTCTACCACTGAGCTACAACCTCAGCCCCAAGTATCTTTAATGTTTATTATTTGTAACTGCATTACATTCCTGATGATATGTATGTATTCTCTAAGATAGAAGCTTTCTCTAGTGTTCTCTTCTCTTCCATATAAACCCTAGCCAGATATCTTCATTTTTCCTAATACCGGGGCTTGAACCCAGGGCCTTGAACTTAGGGCCTTCACACTGAGCTACATCTTGAGCCTTTTACTGTTTATTTATTCTGATACAAGGTCTTGGTAAATCACTAAGTTGCTGAGCTTGGGCTCAAACTTGAAATCCTCCTGCCTCAGCCTCCCAGAGTACTGAGAGTACTGGCATGCACTACCATGCCAGGCTCAGATTACCTTTAAGGTAGCTACTTCTACCAACAGTCTCTTCAAGGTAACCAAGGCTTGGTCTTATTAAGAGCCTGAAAACATTCCAGACTTTACCTATTACATGATTTCAAGGCTATATCTTCATTTTTAGGTACTTATTATAGGAACATGCCACTTTTAATACCACATGCAGAATGCTTTGATACAATACAAATTTATTCTTTTACACTTCTGGAGGCTAGGAGTCTCAAATCAAGATGCCAGGAGAGTCCTGTTCCCACTAAAGGCTCAAAGGAAGGATCTGTTCCATGCTCCCTCCTGGTAGTTGCCAGTAATCCTTGGCATTTACAGATTTATCATTTCAACTTCTGCCTACACCTCCACATGCCATTCTCTCTGTGTCTCCTTTGTGTCCAAATTGTATCTCTTAGAAGGACACCAGCATAGGATTAGTGCCCATCTTCATTCATCTTAACTTATATCTGCAAAGACTCTATTTCCAAATAGTCATATTCACATGCACAGAGGTTAGGATGTGAACATATCTTTGAGAGACACTATGTGCTAAGTATAAAGTAAGATTTGTTTAAACCACTTGGTTTTCAATTACTTAGAGTTGAAGGTTTTTCAAACTGATACCAGTGACCTCACTGAAGACAAAGACAATGATTGGATCGGAATTAAATTCTAAAGATCCTGGGGGATTCTGGTGTTTCTTGACATAAGCCTCCATCAAAGTAAACTTTGGGGAGCTGGGGATTTAGCTCAGCGGCAAAAGCGCGTGCCTCGCAAGCGCAAGGTCGTGAGTTCGGTTCCCGGTACCGGAGAAAAACCAAAACCAAAAAAAAAAAAAAAAAAAGTAAACTTTGGGCACTTTGACTATATCTGCCATCATTCTGCTTTGACAATCTGAGTTTATAGCACTGGCTATGATTTTTAGAAAGCCAAAATTAATTGGACATGATGTCAAAGATGTTTTATTGTCCCTGGTTAAAACTTCATTTAAAACAGCATCAGCCTGCTTACTGATATTTATTTGTGCAAAGGAAAGTTAATTTTTATGTAGACTTACAATTTCAATTTACTTTTTCATGCAGAACTGGAAATTGATTTTTAGGCTGAAATTCACACTTTGTGAAGAATTTGATGCTGTTAAGCATGATGGTACACACCTATAATCCAAGCTACTCAGAGAAGCTGAAGCAGGAGGATCACAAATTGGGGACTAGCCTGGGCAAATTAATAAGACCTTTTCTCAAAATTTTAAAAATTTGTTAAAAAGGGGCAAGGATTTGGGTTGTAGCTCAGTGGGTGGGCTTTGGGGTGGACTCAATGCCCAGTACTATAAATAAATAAATGAATAAATAAATAAATTACCAAGGGTATTCTATAGGGTCTGAGTGTTTAATTGAATCTGAAAAGAACCCCCTGGTGGGCAATAATATACTCTCAGCATCTTTTGAGAGCCCCGGGAAAATTTTTGTTACATCCTCTCTCAACCTCTTCACATCTAACATAACATGTATTCATACTAGTTAATTTTATGTCTCAGCATATAAGCTATAGGATACAAAGCAGGAGTGTTATTACTTAGAAAAATGAACATCACTCAAGGAGAAAAAGGGGATTTCTTCCAGGCTAACGCTTACCATGTTAATGGTATCATGATGGGTAATTGTGTCATTTTGGTGGAAGCACATCTTGTTATTGTTATAATTTGGATATTAAATAGGAGCTAAAGAAATATGTTTCACACTAAACTAACAAGGGGTAGACTTTATAATGTGTCAACTTGGCTAGGATAAACTACTTGTCCTAGAATTTCTTTCTTTCACATTTCTGGTTTGGGTAGAACAGAAAGATGTTTTTGTGTGCAAGCTTTATCAGGTAGAACGAAAATGATGACTGCTTGCTTACTGCATTGACGTAAAATGGTAACTTGACCTGCAAGTGTTCTACCTTCCTCTGCATCCTCAAGTGACCCTGATCCCTGGACCAGATATGTGTTTAGCTTCATGATGAGTAGCTCCAGCTTTTGTTGGATATCCTCACCACTAGGGTCAAGAGCAACAGAATAGACATGGGTTTCAGTCCATTTTCATGAGGTTCAACTTGTACTATGACACTCAGTGTGACCTTGATTTCCCCACATTATTCCCATCTTCCTTCCTTTCTCCCTAACTGCCTTGTCAACATCAAAGTCCAGCATCAGATTCAGACACAGAGCACTATAAAACTGCCTGACCAGTTCCTGTAATCAGTAAGCGTATTTTCCATAACAAGTATGTATGTATATACACCATTCACTACAAATTATGCTTCTCAGGTTGACTATGACTGGAATATCAGGGATAAAGAAGGCCATTACATGGTGAAATGGTTCATCAAGAGGAGGAGCAATACTAAATACTAAATACTTACGCAGGGAGTAATCTATAAGACTAAATGTCTACGTTAGAAAATACGAACTATCTCCAATCAGTGAACTCACCTTCCACTTTAAGTTACTAGGGAAAAAAAGACCAAATTAAACTTAAAGCAAGGAGATAAAAGGGAAAAATTAAAGGCACTGTGGAAATCAAAGAAATGGAAAACAGCAAAATCATTTTTAAAAATCAATGAAACAAAAAGCTGCTTCTTTGAGGAAAAAATAAACTTTATTGGTCTATGTAGGGAAAAAGAGAAGAAGACTCATACAGCAAGAATTGAGAGAGGTGACTTTGCTGTAGATTAATAGATCAGAAGGGACAATTATGAACAATTTTATGCCAATAAATTTGACAACTACATAAAACTAATTCTTTCAATGATCCAAAATATCAAGCTTACTCCAGAAACTGAGTATGTAGTTAAGAGCTTTCTCACACTCCAGACCGCAAGCCCATATGGCTTCCCTGTGAATTTAGCCAAGTATTTAAGAAAGAAATAATACCAGTTCTGAGAAACTCTTCCAGAGAACACAGGAGGACAGAATACTTTTTAATCATTCTGTAAGGCCAGTATGACCCTGATACCAAACCTAACAAGCACATGACAAGGAAACGACCAGCCAGTATTCTTCACAAATGCAAATACAATACTTTTAGCAAATCAAATCCACTAACACATCAGTGGATACTATATCATGATATCATCCCATATCATGAACTAGCAGGGCTTATCACAGGAATGCAAATTTGGTTTTCAAACCTTAGCTGGGCACAGTGGCGCATGACTGTAATCGTAGCACTCAGGAGGTTGAGACAGAAGGATTGCCATATGTTCGAGGCCAGCCTGGGCTACACAGTGAGTTCAGGACTAGCCTGAACTACATAGAGAGACCCTGTCTCAAAAAACAAAAGAAAAGAAAAACCTCAATATATGAACAAATGGCACAGCATGCCTGTTATCCCAGCACTCAGGGGTCTGAGGCAGGAGGATTGATGTGCATTCAAGACCAGCCTAGGCTCCACAGTGAGACCCTGTCTCAAAAAAGAAATTTAAAAAAAAAAAAAACTCAGTGTATGAACTGCATATGGTGAAGCATGCCTATGATCCCAGCACTCAGGGGTCTGAGGCAGGAGGATTGATGTGAGTTTAAGACCAGCCTGGGCTACACAGTGAGTTCAGGATCAGCCTGAACTACATTGCAAGATCCTGTCTCAAAAAAACAAAAACAAAAACAAAAAAAGGTCAATGTATGTAAATGTAGGGATTTAGCTGGACTTGTGTGACTGTTAATAGTGATGTCAACTTGACTGGATTAAGAAATGCCTAGATTTGGAAAGCACAGTTCGGGGTATGTCTAGGTGGATCAAGGTGGCATGACTGTAGTTACTGTGTATGAGCCCTCGCCCCTTTCTCTGTGGCTGTGCTCCCCTGCTTTGCTTCCAAGCTACTATGAACTGAACATCTTTGCTCCACCATGATGTTTCTTCCTTGGAGCCATCAGACCATAAACTGAATCCCCTAAAAAGGAAGAGCCAAATTAAACCTGTCTTCCACTTAAGCTGAAAGTGTCAGATATCTCGTCCCAGTGATGGGAAAGCTAGTTAACATAACCTGATTGCAGCCATCCTGGGACCCAGCTGCCACAGTTGCCCCTGTGTAACCCTAGTCTATTTTCCCTGCATAATTTCCAAGCAAAGTATATATAAACAACACCATAAGAATAGTTGTGGAGCTTTATGACTGGACTACGATGCCATTAGAACCAGTAATGTACCTGATGTCTTCTATGTGAGTTTGAGGTAAACTAGCTATATTCTGGTTTAAATGAATTTTTGTCCTTTTATACAAGTCCCTTCCTGAAGATCCAAATTACAGGGATTCACCTGTCTTGCTGCCCATCAAGCCATGATTTATATGGAGGTCCACCAATAAATGTCATTTGGTGCAATCCCAAATCTGTCTCTACTCAGTCTCAGCACACCTATGGCCATTTTGCATACGCTGAGACCAGATCTTTCTTTTTTTCCAGATCTTTCTACAATAGTAAATTACCACCTTAACAAGATAAAAATGAGAAACAATATTGTCCTCTTTAAAGATATACAAAATGCCTTTGGTAGAATCTACCATATACTCTTACTATAAATATAAACTCTTAAAAAGTAGAAAAGTATTTTCTGCAATATAATAAATGGCATATACCAAAAAACTACATCTGAGATAATCTCTAATGGTTCTTTTAACTTTCCATAACTGTGACAAAATTCTTGAAAAACAAATGAGGAAATACTTACTTTGGCTGACAGTTTCAAAGGCTTCAGTTCATGGTTACTTCAGTTCATGGTTACTTGGCTGTGTTGTTTGTGAGCTGTCATGAAGCAGAACTTCATGGCGGAAGGCCTAGGAGGAGGAAAGCTGCTTATCTCCTGGCAGCTAGAAAGCAAAGAGAAAGAGAACCAAAACTGAAGTGTCCAGGGACCAGATATAGTCCGCTGGTCATGGCCTTATGACTCCTCCCTTCAGCTGGCCCCACCTTCTATGTTTCCATCATAATCATGCCGTCATGCCATCAAATCATGACTCCATCAGAATGAATCCACTGATAATGGAACAACAAGCAGAAACACTGTAAGGACAACCAGGATTTGGAGGCAGATTTATTTACATCAACAGGCACCGATGAGGATCATTCCCAGAGTATCAGACCCTGATCTCTGGTGGTCTAAGGCTTATATGAGATAAACAAACAGAAAGTAGACAGTCAGGAGGGCTTGTCAATTCAGGATTGGTTTATACAATGTGTATCATAGTGACCAGCTATACATCACAGTGACCAGCCATTTCTAAGAGACAGAGACAATCAGAACTGGAACAGGAACTATTACCTGGGCAACTAACAAACTGAAGTATACTGCCTGGTGTGTGTGGTGGGGGCACTTTCTGCTACAATAAGATTCATGCTCACTCATTTCCCAAAACCCTTCAGCTGAAAACCAAGCCCTAAGGATATGGCCTTTACAGAATGTTTCATATCCAAACCATAACCTTGGGGAAAGACTGCTTTACACTTAAGATTAGATCATGATTTCTACTGTCATTATACTGGAATTCCAGCTAAGGAAATTAGACAAGAAAAGGGTAAAAAGGCATTCATATCAGAAAAGAAGAAATAAAACTTTTGTCATTCATTGGCAATGTGAGCGCATGTGTAAAAAGTCCATACAATCCATCAAAAAAGGTACTAGAATTAAATCAGTGATTTTAGGAAGGTTGCAGTATACAAATAAAGTCAATAAACAAAAATTGTATTTCTACATATCAGCACAAAACAACTAGAAATAAAAATGAAAAAAAATCCATTAAAAATAGCATCAAGGGCTGGGGACACAGCTGAGTGGCATAAGTGCCTGCCTGGCAAGCGCAAGGTCTTGAGTTCAATTCCCAGTACCAAAAAAAAAAAAGCATCAAACAATGAAATACTTAGGAATAAACCTGTCAAAAGTTATAAAAAAATCTGCAATATATTGAAAAGGAATAGAAAATGAAAGAAACCAAGGAAGACCTAAATAAATGGAGAGATACACTATCTTCATGGATCAGAAGATTCAATGTTGCTTTACAATATTCCTCCCCAAGATGATCTATAGGTGCAATTTAATCCCAATCAAAATCCCTGGAAGCCTTTTTGTAGAAACTGGCAAGATGATTTGAAAATTCACATGGAAATCCACTGAAGTTACAGTCGCTGAAACAAAAATACAACATTGGCGTTCTCACAGTACCTGATTTCTAGCCTTATTATAAAGCTACTGTAGTCAATCCAAAGTGTGGAATCATGGGGCTAAGTAGGTAGCTCAGTGTTGAATGCTTGCCTAACATGTGCAAGGGCCTAGCTTTGATCCCCAGGAGAAAAAAAAAGCGTGAATTCAGCCTAAAAAGAGACAGACAAGAATGATTAGAGAAAGTAGTGAGGCCAAAAGTAGGAATATGGATAACTGACTTTTGGCTAAGGTGAAAGGATATTCAGAAAAGAAAGAGATGGTGCTGAATAGTTGAATAGTCACATACAAAAAATAAAACAAAGAAACAAAAAAAAAACCCCAAAAGAACCCTCTTTGCTGCAAACCTTACAAGATGCTTTAAAAAATTAACTCAAGAGAGATCCAGACCAGAAGAAAAAAATAGTAGAAAACCTTCGTTCCATAGGTTAGGGCAAAGACCTCTCACATGTGACAAGAAAAACCATCCATGAAAGAACCAAATGAAAACTGTATTTCATCAAAATATAAAGCTTCTGTGCTCTAAAAAAAAGTTAAGAGAAAAGCAAAGCCATAATATAAATGCAATTCATATATATAAGATTTGTGTGCAGAATGGGCAAAAGATTTGTAGACAGTTCACCAAGGAACATATATAGATGAAACAGTGCTAAATATTGTTAGTGTTTGGGAATGCAAATTAAAAACACAGTGAGATACACAGAATGGTAAGGATAAGAAGAAACTGGGTATCTCATATGTTACTGATGAGAATGCAAAATGACACAGGTACTCTAAAAAGTGTGGCAATTTCTTACAATATTAGACACATGTCCATCAAGAAGGGAGAAAATACTTCTGTCCATATAAAATGGAGATGAAATGTACATAGCAGCTTTATTTGTAATAGTCAAAAACTGGTAATTACTCAGATGCCCATCAAGTGATGAGTGGGTAAAGAAACTGTGATACATACACACAGTGGAATATCATACACTAAATGGATACAGATACAAACAAGAAAAGAATAAACTGTTGACACAGCGATACAGAGAACCTCAAGATATTGCTCAGAGAAAGTCTAAAAAAAAAAGTGCACTGTGTATGAGTCCACTTAAATAATTCTCTAGAAAATGCAATTAATCTATAGTAACAGAAAGCGGATCACTAGAGGTGGAAGGGAGGAGGGATGCCAGGGGCAGAAGTGTGCACTGAGGGTTGATGTGTTTATTGAGTGTGGCAATGGTTTCACACCCGCATATATATGACAAACATCCAATTTTAGATTAATAAGCTTTCTATTGTCAGTTAAATAATCTGTTTTTAAAGAGTATTTATACTCCCTCTTGGAGGACTGAAGGTCCTACTTCTCTTCCCCCTTACAAGTATCCTAGGGTCTCAGTCACGAAGCCTTAAGATTTCATACATCTGAAAGGGGGCCTGGGTGGAGACAGGAAGCCCTGTTTTCCTATACCTCACCCATCACTTGACCACCCATCATGTTCTGACCCCTTGCATATCTTTTCCCCCGCATCTTGAACCAAGTGTCATGTCTTACTGGTTTCAAAACTTCCCCCAGCTTCTCATTTCCCAAGATATTTCCATGAACACAGAAACACTTTTCACTCCCTTGATCCATCTCCACTTCAGGCCCTTCTTCCTGTCTTGAACTTTTAGCCACAATGAGAATTGCACTGGCAAGCAAACTTTTAGGAAGACATCTCCTGACCTTTCTTAATCGCAAATTGCCCCCGTTTCCCAGAAATTCAGCGATTAATTACTGAGCATCACTTATTTCTAGGGCAGTGGATTTATTTGTTTGTTTTTTGAGACAGGGTCTCCCTATGTAATTCAGCCTGGTTTTGAATTCACTATGTAGCCCAGGCTGACCTCGAACTCGAGTCAATCCTTCTGCCTCAGAAGCCCGAGTGCTAGGATTACAGCCATGTGCCACCACACGCAGTTGAGGCCAGTGGTTCTTACAGGGTGGTCACAGAACAGCAGCATCATGTCACCTGAGAACCTCGGTGGGCATCCCTGACATACTGAGTCAAAAACTCTGGGTCTGGGCCGCAAGGCCTCCAAGGCACGCTGATGCATGCCACTGTTCTGGGGCAAAGAAAAAAAACCAGGAAGAAAGTTAAAACCAAAGCTCAACTGTGAATCTGATGACAGGGTGGGGGAGGGGAGGAGGACGGGAGGGAGACGGAGACAGACGGCCTCATTCTCCCAGTACAAAACCTACCCAGCCCCAGGAAGCTTTCTCAAAAGATAATGGAGTCCGGTATTCACCTCAAGAACCTGCAGACATGGCATCCAGGAATGCGTCTCTGACCAAGCTAGGGCTCTGCTGGGCACTGCCCTGCGGGTGTTCACGGGTTAATTCTGGTCCACCCACCCGCCGCGGCCCAGGCAGCGCGCAGGCACGGCGCCGCACCATAGAGCTGAGCGCTCCTCCCGGGTTCCTAGAGCGGGCGGGCTGGTGTGTGGCTCGCTTAGTGGGAGGCTCCACAGCGAGCGGCGGGACGCTTGCAGGTAGGCACAAGGTTACCCGTGGGAGGCCCGGGTATCCTGGGCGATTCCGCCTACCAGGCGGTTTGTCGAGTCCAGGGCCGCTCCCTGGCACGGAGAGCGCGTCGGTTCTCCGTACCTGGTCAGCGCTCTCTGGGCCTTGGCTTCTACTGAATGAACGCCGGAAATGGGGAGCTGGCATAACCCTGAAACGCGGGTGAATGCGCGCGAATCGGCCGACCCAGTCGGGAAAGAGCTAGCTGAATTTGTGAGTGTGAGCAGGAGCTCAGGCAGGAAAGACAGGAGAAACGTTCATAGTGTCATTTTTGTAAAAGCGGGGGATAACAGCCTCTTGACCAATAAGACAAATTCTGCAAATCTCTTCCTCTCTGTTATCTTCCCAGTTACACCCTGTTTTGGTAGCATTAACCCCCACTTCTGTCTGAGTAGCCCTCTACTTGGAGTGGGGCGTATGTGTGCGTCCAGGAGAGGCAGTGCCACAATCCTGGACGATGGAGGAGGAAGCTGAGGAAACCGAAGATACATTACTTGGAAATTAAAGAAGCTTTCGTTTTCTCCTTCTCTCCTTTTGTATTTAGAGGCTGTTTCAGGTGCTCGAGTCTCAGAAGGTAGATTTCTGCTCCGCAGAGTGATTCTCTTCTGAGCCCATTGGTGCTCAGTTGCCTCCAGACCTGCGACCCTTAAGCAGACAAGAAAATCGCACAAAGGAAATGCTGTTTCTTCATTTGCTCCCTGAGGCGTCCAGTTGCAACCTATGGAGAACCAATTCAATTATGAATCTCAAGAACATCACTCTGTGTCCGGTGAGTAGACCCCATGCCAGCTCCGCACATGACAGCAATGTTCCTTATTGCCTACACCCACACTCTGTTGGTGCCATCTCTTTTGGGCTTCAGGCACAGTCCTGTGGTTTTATTTCTAATTCTAGCAATCAGATTCTTAGGCAGTTCCCTCCCTTTTTGAAGGCCCAAGAGTGGTCCAATTTTCCCTTTATTAATCACCTTATTAGGAATCTGTGAGTGTTAGGTATGTCACCTTTCTAATCTTTTCAAGTCATCTTTCTCATCTTTAAAGTTCTGCAGTCTGATGACCTGGATTCAAATTCTAGCTTTGTCACTTACTGCCTTCAGTACTTTACAGTTCTGTTCCCTCCTTTACTAAGTATAATAATGCATACCTTTTGAGAATTATGTCCGTTCCTCCTTAAAAGTTAATGACCTGAAACATCAGACAGCTTTCATCTGTGTTATTTCTTATGGTTTTGTAGGTCATTAACTGGAGCAGGGTTTAGGTGGGCAGTATTTTTCTCCTGATATTGTCTGGATTCAGGCCGTCATCTAGTGACTTGACCTAGAGTGGGGTCAAAGCCTCAATCACATGTGTGTGACTGTTGGCTTGAGTCATCACCATTGGGCTAGCCGAGACTTTTTCCCAGTACACCTAATACCCAAAATCTGAGAGAGAAAGCTCTTTGATACATGAGCACTTTGTGTATTTGGGTTTGTGGTAAATCTGCCTATGCCTCATTGACCAGCGCAAGTCACGTGGCCAGTTTCAGAGTCTTTGTGAAAGGAAACTGCACAAGGAGATTGATACTGAGAGATATGATTCATTGGGGCCTGTTACTACTACTGTAAGAAACACTACAGGGGCTGGGGATTTAGCTCAGCAGCACAGTGGCTGCCTGACAAGCACAAGGTCGTGAGCTTGATTCCTGGTACCGGGAAAAAGAAACTGAAACACTACAAACATGAAGTGAGGGCCTCCGTGTAAAGCCAGGTATACTGATGTAGATTACAGTAAACTGTTATTTATTTATTTATTCATTCATTCATTCTATTTATCTATAGTGTAAGGTATTTTGACCCTTATTTTGTTCAGAAGTTTCCAGGGTTTCATTTCCACTTCTTGGATTTGGTTCTTCCACTGCTGCTGTCCTCCCATTGCTACTTTTTAGATTTGGTCCTGCCATTGCTGCTGTCATTTTGTTTATGAAATTCTCCTCTGATGGCCTGTTTCTTTTAATATAGATCTACAGCTTTTTAATCTCAGAACAGCTTTATAATGTGTCATTTAATTGGTTTATTTCCTGTATTATAATTTGCCCTTCTTTAAGATCTATTCTGGGGGCTGGGGATTTAGCTCAGCGGCAAAGCGCCTGCCTGGCAAGCGCAAGGTTGTGAGTTCGGTTCCCGGTACCGGAGAAAAACCAAAAAAAA